AAAATTAGGCTGCTGTGGTTTTAGCAGGGCAGGATGACTTGTTTTGCTTTTTTGCCTTTTCTGTAAAACACACTCTCATTCTACTACAGAGCAATTGGGCAATGCTGAATGTTAAGTACATTTTCATATATCATTGGTCACTCATTTTGTTTTCCTCTGAGAGAAGGAGCAACTGCAAGGAAACCATGCTTAAAGTGGATGGCACTACAAAGAAATGTGCAAACCACTGGTAAACAGAATCTCTTGGCTAGATCTTAGGATGAAATGAGCACAAAAACCTTGATCTCAGCCCATCCATAACATAATCAGATGCCTCAACCTAGATATGTGTAGGCAAGTTTCCATGCACATATTCCGAGGTGAATAGGGAACTTCCTGGCCAGACTGGTACTGTTCATATCATTCCATGGCCCAATAAAGCATCATGGAACTTCTGCCAATCAAGTACTTAGGAGAAAGCTGAAAAGCTGATCAGGAAGTCTCAAGCTTTTATGAAAGTCCTATATTTGCAGGAAACAAGCAGAACCCAAATCCAAATTTCTTCCTGTGTTTCTGATTTCAAGGAGGACCCACAAAGATGTGAAAAATGCCATGAGAGTTGTACAGAGTGCAAGGGACTTGGTGAGCTGAAAAGCTGATCAGGAAGTCTCAAGCTTTTATGAAAGTCCTATATTTGCAGGAAACAAGCAGAACCCAAATCCAAATTTCTTCCTGTGTTTCTGATTTCAAGGAGGACCCACAAAGATGTGAAAAATGCCATGAGAGTTGTACAGAGTGCAAGGGACTTGGTGCTCTCAACTGTACTGTGTGTCCTCCTAATGCCGAACTCTATCTGGATGAAAGTCGTTGTGTGTCCTGCTGTAAGAGTCATGGGCCTGAAGAAACTGGAGATTGTTGCGATTGCAGTGAAATCCGAGGTAATAATAATAAGCAGAAGGAGGAATAAACATTTTTTAGCCTTTGTGCATTATAGATTTTTAAAAGTCATTTATAAAGTCTGAGATTAAACCCCTTTGAAGGATTTCATATCTCTACCTATACTGCTTTGTTGTGTATCCTTGGTGGTGACAGCTTAGATGCTGCATACAGTTGGGAAGACTCAGGCAACAAAGAAGTTTGTTTTTAATGTTGCACCTGCTGCACAGGTTGTTACCAAGGGAAAGCAGTTTTTGGCAGTGCATACAGAATATTTAAATGGATTCCCAGTCTGAACTTTTTAAAAGAGTACAGTTGATTAGGGATGGTCATGAACCAGGAAAATGCAGTTCATTTTGGCTTGTGAGTCACGGACTGTCATGAACTTTTAAGTGCTAAACAAATCAGTTTGGTTTGTGACACAGTACAACGGCCCCCTGCCATGTCAGAGACACCAAACTTGCAGGGGATCTTCAACTGACTCTCCTCTATCCGCCTTCCATGTTTGCTGAGGATTGGATTTATGGGGTCTGAGTTACAGCTCCCCAAAGAAGGTGCCCCCATCCTCCATTGTTTCCAATGGAGGTAAAAACAAAAACAAAAAAGCAAGGGCAATAGAAGACCAGCAAAACAGAACCATAGTCCCAGGGAATCTCTGCAGTAAAAACTGAAGGTTGAGGAGCATTTTTGCAACCCTAGCAGAACCAGTGCCACTGTGGCAGTGCAAACCCGACAGGACTAAGATAAAACCAGAGAATCTCTGCAGTAGAAACTGAAGAGGGGGCATTTGTTCATGCCCTGCGAGAACCAGTGCAATGTTCAGAGTGCCACCAGTTCAGTGCACTAGTGCCCAGCAGAACCCAATGCCAATGTGGCAATGCTAGCTCAATCAAAAACTAAGCGTGGGGGGCATTTTTGCAAACCCAGCAGAACCAGTACAATGTACAGAGTGCTAGCAGTACCAGTGCAATCATAAGAGTTCCCAGCAGAACCCAGTGCCACTGGCAGTGCAAGCTTAAAAGGACTGATCTCAAAGCACAGAGTCACTAATCCAAGCAAAGGGGTGGGATTTTACAAGCTCTGTGCAAGAAAATGGGAAGTGAACACAAAGGAACGTGGGCAAAGGAAGAGGGGAAACCTCTTGAAATTGATATGACTAGTTTAAAACTGACAACAGTGTTTCTAAGGCTGGAGAATTCCAAGCCCTCTGTTGCTCTGAAGTTTGGTAAACCTTTTGTTTGTGCAGAAACAGTCTGTCTGGAAATGTATCCATTCACAAACCAGCAG